CGGCATGGCGGCCCGAGCGCGGCGCGGGGGCCCGGGGGCTGCGGAGGAGCCGAGCGGGCAGCGCGGCCGGGCATCGCCACCCCGGCCCTGCGGGATGGGGAGCGCCGCGGCCGGGCGGGGATGGGGAGCGCGGAGTGCGGAGTGCCGGGGCGCCCGGACTGGGAGGGGGATGAGGGGTGCGGGCTGCCAGGGCCGTGAGGGGATGAGGAGCACTGGGTGCCGGGACCGTGAGGGGATGGAGAGCGCTCGGGGCCGTGAGGGGACGGGGAGCGCTGGGTGCCGGGGCCGTGAGGGGATGGAGAGCGCTCGGGGCCGTGAGGGGACGGGGAGCGCGGGGCTGTAGCGGGCGGAGATGGGTCGCGGTAGCGCGCTCGGGCTGCTCGGTGTCACAGAAAGTTTGAGCCCCCGGGGCGGTGTGTGGCCCTCTCCTGGACTCTGCTCCCCGCTTTCACGGATGGCAGGTTTATCGTCTCCCTCGGAACCCTGGTTTTCCCTGCCCCGGCACGGAATGACAAAGGAAGCGTCCCGCTTCCCCAGGCTCCTCCGTGCCGGAGCGAGGGAATGACTTCAGAGCTGTCCCGGCAGTCGTTAGCAAGGATCGCCTGTACGTCAAACCCTGACATCAGGTAAAGTGATAAACATCATAAACTACAGTTCACATGCAACGTTTTAATGCCAGAATGCTGAATCTTCTCATGAGGGCACAGCCACTACCGAACAACCCCAGTAACCGTGTTTTCCAAGCTTTATCCGTGTGCCACAGTTAACCCTGCTTTTCAGAAAGATGGCACCAACAGGCATTAGAAATTCAAACAACCTCGAGCCATTGTATCCTACAAGGCAACTTTTCAAAAGGTAAGAATAACCCCTCTGATCTTCAAGCCATAATTAAAAAAAGAAAAAAAAACACCAACAAAAAATTAAATGCCATGGAAACAAACCTAAAATTGCCTTTAATTCAGTCCTAGCTGCACATGAAGTCTTTTATGGCTTTTATGTTCAGACCCAGGATCCTGCTACAAATCTGGAGAAGAGACAGGCACATAACTCATAGTCAGACCCTAAAATACTGTGGTCAGTCCATCATCCACTCAGGTTCATATAAGAGGGTGAAAATGTGAATGATTTGTGTGACATAGAGCTAGAAATACCTCACAAATTGCCGAAAACCAGCTTTTGGCAGGCGCTGAGGGGAAGCTGGTTTGGGGGTTCTGTAGGGGTATTTTGGCACATGATAAACAGAAGGTTTGTTTCCAAAGCTGACAACTGAGATTTTTCTTCTCTATAAATAAAAACACTTTTTATTAAACAAATAAACAAACACCACCCCAACTTGGCAGAGTAGTTTACCAAAAAGGGAAACCACATGGCTTTAACTGTCAGAAGCAGAAATATTTGTGCAAACAGAAAAGTACCTGCTGCTTATTCTGATGCAGTTTGGGATAAAGACCCATTCCCGTTGTCCTCATTACCACTGCTCCCACTGAAGTCAGGCTGATGTATTACACAGAAGCAGCAAGATCTATTTTAATTATAAACCAGTTTGGAAAAAGCTGGATTTAAAGGCTTTTGGCACATGGCTGTTAGAGATTATACCAATAGAAAAAAAAATCTTAAAAAAGAGAATGCAAGAATTTGGAGCAGCTCCTTGCTGAAGGAGAAGGCGAGTATTTTTGTCACCACTTCCCCCAAGAAAGGAGCAGAATTAAATCCCTCAAAAACAGGAGGGAGGGAGAAAGCCACAAGTCCCCTTAGGGTGACAGATGGCTACAGGGCACTTGGTACCCGTGAGTGTGGTCCTGGGGAGGACAGCACAGCAGGAGAAAACAAAGATCCAAAAAATGCAAGGAAAAAAATCTCTGTGTGGGAAATAAGGTGAGAGCTAGAAAGTCAGAATGCACATGCGGCAAAAGCCCCCCTGCCATGTCTGGGAAGATTAACTTGTAAAAGCTCCCCGGGTTTCTGTTGCTGCTGTTCTTTTATTCTGGGGAGATGCAAGCAGCAGACTTTGAAGCTGTGCTGGCTGACAACGATTCCATCACCTGGGACTGTCCCCAGCCAGCTGCACCTCCTCCAGGAGAGCAGGCCCTGCTGCTGACCTCAGGGGCAGCTGGGCAGTGCTTCCCTTTGCAGACCTGCTAAGGGAACCAGCCTGAGGAAAAGCTGATCCCCCTTCCTGAACTGGTTTGCAGCATTCCGTGTTCCACAGGCCCCTTCTGCAGTGCTGCTCTCAGCAGCAGCAACAGCTTTCCCTTCATTTCTTTCACTTGGGAAAAGTGATTTCAGTTTTGTTCAGTTGTACTCCAGTCACTTCTGGCCTGAGGGGACCAAGCAAACCCCAGAGTGTTCACACCAAGCATCACATTCCCTTCAGTGTGTCCTGAGAATCACCCTCAGCACATTCTAAACGAGGCTCAGCTCTCTGGGACTGCCGAGGAGCCAAGTGCCACCTGTGTCACCAGAGCTGCAGAATTATCCACAAACACATCCCTCTGTACCTCCCCTGCAGCGACAAGGGAGAGCAGAATGCTTCAGATAACAGCAACAAACATCAAAAAGTCCACTGAATCAGAGAATCACAGAATCACCAAGGTTGGGAAAGACCTCCAAGGTCATCCTTCATCAAGCCAGTCCCACCACCCTGTTCAGCACTAACCCCTGTCCCCAGGTGCCTCACCCACATGTTTTTGGAACACTTCCAGGGGTGGTGACTCCACCCTGCTGTAGCCAGCCTGTGCCAGGCCTTGACCACTGTCTCAGTGATGAAATTTTCCTAATATCTAATTTAACTTCCCCTGGCATGACTTGGGGCTCTTTCCTGTCACCCTGCCCTGAAGATGGACAGCCTCAGGACATGGCTGTAGGAGACCAGGAAAAGTTATTCTTTGTGGAATTCCAAGGCCTGAGAGCAGCTTCCCCACCTGTATTTCCTTTGAACTTTGCACCCCAGAACACAACTAAATTTAAACAACAAATACAAAATGGTCCTTTGAAAAGGTCTGTCAAGACTCCTAAATCAGGGTTCAACCAAGGCACAGCTCAGCCTCCACTGGAGAGTTTGAAGGTTTTTCCTTCTACTTTTTACCTTTTTTTTTCTCCACTTTCATTACATTCCTACCAAGAAAAAAATAGCTTGAAACATTGTTACTAAAAACAGAAGAAGAACTAAAGGATATGTATCAGTATCGGGCAGAGGACATCAGTTTGCATGTCTAATAGAAAAATTCTATTTTTGCTCATTCCAGTGGAGTTCTGTCAAAAGCACACACACACTTTTCAAGTGCCAGCCAAAATAATTACTTCTCTCCTTCTGTGGGGGGGAAAAATCCACTAAATCATGAATATTCAATGGATTGGTTAATGACATAGTAATGCTTTAGCTGAAATCTTTGCTCCTTAAAATACAGCAAACATGAGCTGCCAGTTAGAAGAATTAAAAATACAGAAATAACTTGATCTGCAGAAGCTATCACCCCCCGATTGCTTCAGGAGTGTGTGACGGTAGCATGATACCATGACAGATCTGGGGCAGACTGTCTTCACAATCTGGGAGATGTAAAAGAGGCAGGAAAAAATAGTTTCTGTTACTCACTGGAGCTTCTGCCAGTGCTGGGGGCTCTCCAGGGCAAAGGTGCCTTCCCTCACCACCAGCTGGGTCCTCACCCAGATGATCCCAGGGTGCACCCAGTTACATTTCCAGCCTTGTACCACCAGCCCTAAGGGTCTGTTAGCTAAATTTCTTTGAATTGCTTAAATGAGTTTTTCCATAACCAAATCCCTGTATGAAAACAATGATCTGCAAAAACAAACAAACAAACAAACAAAAAAAACCAAAAACCAAAACAAAAACCAAAACAACAAAAAAAAAAAAAAAAAAAAAAAAAAAAAAAAAAAAAAAAAAAAAAAAAAGCCAAACCAAACAACCAAACAAAAACCTGCAGAAAAGGTTCATTTTAAAGCCAATTTTATTTCCTCAAAGTCTCAGAGTTCTGGCTGGAGTGCTGTGAGTGCAACTGGGTTATTTCTTTGCTTTCAGGTGGTGCTAAGAGTTGCATCTTCCATTTTTCTCTCAGACTCTCAAGAATTCCTGACTATTCAGCCTCAATTTTGTTGCTTTGCCACCAAAACGACCTCTGAGAAAGCTGCATGTTCATCAGGTAGATGAATTTAAGCCTCCATGTTGCCTATGAATTCTTTGTTTTTCCCATGGAGTTTTCTCCATGTGGAATCTGCTCCCTGCAAGGGTCACCACCATCACTGTGAGGTCTGGGCTGGAGAAAGGAGTACAACTTGTATAGAAAGATGTTTTATTATTTTCAGAAGCCAATATTCTGAAGTTGATGGCTCATTCTGCTCTCTCTGAGTCATTTCTGACATACTTCAGGCACATATTTAACATCCAGGAGTGAACCCTTTATCCCCAGCCTTAACGTTTTTTCCCACTATGGGAACAGCTAATGCACAAAAGTAACGTTCCTCAGTGTTATCTTCAAAGTTGGGAACATATTTAGTTGCACATTACAATAACTCCATTCATATTTCATGAATTTTTAAGTTCAGCCTGTGAGCATGGACAGCTCATCACTGATACATCAGCGAAATGCTGTGAAAAAACAAGCAACTTATTGTGCTTTTAGCATAGGAGATTGCTGCATGGTTCCCTCAAGGATATTAAAAAGATCTGTGCTATGGTTATCAATAAATATCTTTCAGGATCAGCATTTATAAAGCTTCTAGAATGGCTTCAGCTCTTGACTGACATCAGAAATTAAGGAACTTACTCACAAAAAGCAAAATCATAGCTTAAAGTCAACTACTCTTCAGTTTTGCTGCTTTGAACTTCAATATTCATTTTGATGACCAGAACCTAATTCTTAAATTATTTTACTATTACAGCTGGTTTGAAAAGCTTCAGCTTATTTCTTGAAAAACAG